GTAAAACCACAGCATTTCCTCACCTTAAACACTTTTGTTTCCTGTGGGAGAGAGCACATGTGCTCATTTCTGGGCTTCTCTGACTGAAAACCTCGGTAACAATTAGGTCGACTGTAATCATAACGGGAGGCAGGCACTGCGCAAACATTCTGTGCAGGCTCAAGGGTGTAAGGAGAATAGGCGTATGGATGGAGAGTTAGCTCAGAAGATAAATACTGGGGTGGAAATGTTGAAGTTCCAAAGGCCAAATCTTCAGTATACATTTTCTGTCTAAAAGGTATAAATTTTAGTTGCAGATTTCATGACACAAACCAACAAACTTAAATTTTTATAGTATTTAAAGTTTTATCATATAAGATTATTAGCTAGATCATTCAAATATTGAAAAAATCCTCATTAAAAAGGCAAAATGTTCAAGATAAATGAACTCATAAACTGACATGCTGAATCAAAACCTCTTTGTACTTAAAAGATAAAAAAAATTAAGGCAAAATGATACCACTTTCTCTTTGCCAAGAAAGATGCTCACCTAGTTTCTCTTTTAAAATTAATAAGCCACAGTCTATAAGCAATGTCAACAAACCAGAAAATGCCCAGCAGAATTTAACATCCATCTGGTATCTAGTACTTGAGTATGCTTCTCTCTGTAACTCTGGACAAAATGATCAAAGACCATCATTCCCTTTACCGGGGAGCTGAACAAGAGCTTGCATAGCCTCTCTCCAAGAAAGCCAGGCTCCTATTTCCATTTTTCTCCAGCCCTTCTCTGTTCCAAGTCCTACACAACATTCTACAGTTCTTAGTGAGGGCTAAAGTAAAAAGGGAACATTCCATGGCATGGAGACCAGGAATAATACTCCCACAGACAACAAGGGCACCATCCTTTATTTATTTAGTTACTATTTTTTAAATGGTTATAAAGGTGATGTATGGAGGGTTACAATTATGTAAGTCAGGTAAAGAGTCTATTTTTTTAAGTTTAATTGTTATTATAAAGGTGATGTATAGAAGGGTTACAGTTATGTAAGTCAGGAAAAGAACACGTTTCTTTTTGAACAATGTCACCTCTTCCCTTATTCTCTCCCAGTTTTCCCTGCCTGTCCCCACTCACAAGTTGTATAGTTAATTTTCAACTTAGTATCTAGAGAATACCACTGCTGGATTTGTTCACCCTTTGTCTTTGCAGTTCTGGGGCACCATCTTTTAATACTATTCTATTGTCTCAATTTCTTCAAGCTGGTAGACTAAACCAAAATGTTGAACAAATGGTTGAAGACTGTAGGTTTCAGCTATTTTCCAATGAAAGCTGACACAATGACAAAACGCTAAGTGGTTAAATATAGTTAAAATACAAATCACAGCCTCCTCATCCTCACAAATAAGCAAGGTACATGTTCCTGTGAACTTCCAGAGCTATACTAAGGCACACTGGTATACTCCAAGCTTAAGCATGACATATCTGTGTGATTATATAATATTTTATGACAACCATATCTTTTCAGATCTTTTGCTTCTAGGCAACTAATTCTAATAATGCAACATTCTTAAGACCCCACACAAAACCTCCTTCAATGACTTTTTTCTGTCCTAAACAACACCTGCCCTTGTGTTACTCCTAACCTATCCTAACAGATAGGTTCCTACTGGAACCTATCCAAACATATAATCTACTCTTTCCTAAAAATTGAGCCAGAACACAGTCATTATCATAAATACCATTTTAAAAGACCACCATGTTTCCTACTTCCTACCTAGTAAAACTAAAGTTTTCAGCTGTATTGCGTAGATTTCCAATCTATCTAGCCCATATGCTAGTTCACCAAATATTTCCCTACTTCCTACCCAGCAAATCAAAGTTTCAGCTGTACTGCTTAAGTTTTCCATCTATGATACGACATGTGCTAATTCTTCTAATTAGTTGTAACATATTCATCAGTTGCTCTTTTTTTGAAATTACCACAGAATATTGCAAGATGCTTGAAGGGAAAAAAAAAAAAAACTCTTGCCAACAGAAGTAGTAGTTTTGGAGGATACTAAACTTAAGCCAAAAAAAGCCTAAATGCTAATTCTATCTCTTGGGAAGCAATGCAGTCTCCATTTATCTTGGCCTAAAGTAACACATTAAGGGAAATGATAGGAAGAGCTCCACTTTTCAACATCAAGTACAGATAAGCTGTGCTACTGGCTTAAGACGCTTTTCAGCTGGACAGCATTTTCCTATCTACAGAATTTTTAGTATGGTAGCTTTGGTTAGTCATCATTAAATTCAAGAAAATAAGCCAATTGAGTCTCTAACATAAGGCAAGACATTTAGAAAAATACATACTCAGTGACAGGTGGTTCCTGCACAAATGGGTAGTACGTGGCTGCGCAGCTAGGGAAGACACAAGCTTCTGAGGACTCTGACCATGCCGCAGTGAGCCCAGCAAATTTGGGGACAAATGGTTTCACATCTGCTGATAGCTTGACGCTGTCCTGAGGGGGAAAAAAGCGGGGGGATTGGGCTACATACACTGAGATAAACAATTTAAAAAAACTAAGAAGGGCTCCATTCAAATAGCTCCAGTGCTATTTAAAAACTTCTATAAAGTGAAACTGTGATTTTGTTTAACAATTTCACAATTTCTCTCCCAACACCTCAGTAGAAAAAAGCAGTTTTTTTAAACTGAAAGCGAAAAGAACTTTTGAATGTTAAGAACAACTAAGTCAAACAGAAGTAATCTATATTATTACATAAGGACTACAGATGACGTTTCTGTGGGAAACACACATTTATCGATTAGCTTTCATTAGACCTAAGTGGGAACCGCAGACCTACGTCGTTATATACACTCAGCGGGGGCTATTTATCTCACAACTTTCAAAAATAACATGGAAAAAGTTCACGTCCCTCAAATGTAAAAATGCCACGAAATCTCTGCTAGATAAATTATCCCACCGCCACGAGCCCGTGGACGTTTGGGTGACTGGTTCTGAAACGGGTAGCTTTTCAGAAAGAGTTTTAGAACCACGGTTTTCAGTCTAAAACTAATTCACGTGACTGCCAGGACTCCATCTAGCGGTCCACACAAGAGGTGAGAAAGCCGAGACCCGGCTTAACAAAGTTAACTCTTCGGAGCGAGCAAGTGGCCGCGCGCGACTGCCGGGTCCTCAGCAGAGCTCCGGGAAGGGTCGGCGCCGCGGGCGGGGAACGCGCCCGACCCCAGCTCCGAGCAGGTTCGGGCTGCCAGCTCGGCCGCGCCCTGAGACCCCGGGCCGAGGCCTCCGAGAGCTCGGCACACGGACCGAACAGTGCCAGCGGCTCTTACCTCGCCTTCGGACTCCCGCGGCCCCTCCGACGCCATGGCGGCCGGCTCCTCCGAGCCTGAGCCGGGGAAACCAGCGGCGGCCCAGACCCACAACTCGGTGTTTCCGCCTTCCCAAGGGGCGCCCGGAAGTGCGTCACTGCGACGCGACTTGCATTTCCCACTTCCTCACGGAAGTGCGTAAGGGCCCGAGGCCGACGCCGACACGTGGTGAAAACCCCGGCGGCAGGGCCGCGGCAGAATGAGATCCCTGCCCGGCTCTTCCAAAGGGGGTTGCCAGGGCAATTACAGGCAGCTTGAAGCTGTGGTTTGCCACACTCTGGGGCCTTGTAAGGCTGTTATTTAGAGAATCCTTTTCTTTTTGTAAGCAGACAGGTACCGAGATGACCTCCCCCATCTTTAGACTGCATCTCCATGGTTCCACACCTCCCAGTTTGCATTCCCTGCAAAAGCCTTATAGAACCAGGGGGCCAGCAGCGTACACCTGCAATCCTAGCTGCTCAAGATTTGAAGCCAACCTGGGCGGGGGCAGGAGTCACTGAGACAAGCCTGATGGGGAGGTGTCTCATGTGGTAGAGCACTGACCTTGAGCTGAAAAGGCTCAGGGACAGCATCCATGCCAAGTTCAAACTATGAACCACCAAAAAGCTCAAAGTGGAGCTGTGGCTCATGGTGGAGCACTATATTCTTGGGCTGGAAAACCTCAGGGACAACTCAGGCCCAGAGTTCAAGCCCCAGTACAGGCACACACACAAATCTAGGGCTGCCTAATCTATGGGCACCTTAAGCTTCCACAAATTTGCCACACAAAAAAAAACTTCAGAATTGCTGTCGTGTTGAAAGTAAAAATACTAGGGCAGGTAATAAATACTGCTTTTCCAAATGAAAACAAATTTAGATTTAAGTAATGAGAGTTGGAAGGTGGGAGGCTGAGAAATCCAGAGTGAATTTCAAAAAAAAATGGAGGCCAGAATTTTAAGTTATGCAGGTGAAGAAAATAGGGTTGCTGCAGAGACACTAGTGGCTCACACCTCAAGACAAGCAAAGAAATAATGGAGTGCTTACAATGACAATGCAGGAGTTGAAGTGTTGCTTTCCCTTGAGTAAGACTTGAAAACTAGATCATTTCAATGAAAAAATTGAGGCAGCTCCAATTCCTTGCTCAAGTTTATGACAAGTGGTTTATTATTACTATGAAACTCAGCTGCACATTCAGACAGGAACTCAAAATGGACAGCTGAAAACTTTTCCCATAATAGCATTCTTTTCTCTTCTACTGGAACATTTTTTGTTGGTTGTGGGGCTTGAACTCTGGGCCTGAGCGCTGTCCCTCAGCTCTTCAGCTCAAGGCTAGTGATCTATCACTTAAGCCACAACAGCACTTCCAGTTTTGTAGATAAGTGGAAGTTAACACAAATACTATTAAGTTAGGCATTTCTAGCCACTTGAAGATTATAGGGTTATGTGGGAATTTTAACAGTAAAGCCCTAAAATCTACATTGGCTCTAGCTTAAATTTATCTGTGGTGCTTACATTTCCTTGTAAGTGAATTAAAGGGTAACCTCAACATACCAACTATTTTAAACACACTTATCATTTCTTTCAAAAATAAGTTTATTTTCTCAAGGCTAAATTACAAAATTGAAAATTAACAGCCAACAATTAACTGTAAGAAAATATACCTCATAACAGTGGTAAATGCAACATACAAACTTTATTTAACAAAAATAACACATAAAGTCAAACAAGCACTTATATTAAGAGAAAAAAAACAACTAGAAGAAATTTTGAACACCTTACAATAACCTACTTGCAGTTGCATTTAACTGAGCTCTGTTGCTGTGAAGAATACAGCTCATGGCACAGGTATTGATGAATTGTACATTTTTTTCAAGTATTCACTGAATACTACCCTTATATACACATATACATTTGAACAAGGTTTAACTGATGATCCCAGATAGACTTCATTTTTGTTGCTCTTTTGGAAGAGGTCGTCTAAAGAGAAGAATATGGGGTTCTGTGGAAAGAAAATGTTTGTTTAATATGATTGAAAATAGCTAAATTTCATTTATGCATCAAAATTCAAAGCATTCAACTGGATGAAAACTACTAGTTTAACTAGCTGAAGTACTGAAGATGAATTTTACTTCCAAGACAAAACAAAGAGTTACAAACTATGGGCATATTCCTGGTATTTTTGTTACACATATGTTGTGGAGAAAGAGAACAATCTTGAGAATGTTTTTAACTTTACAATCTTCATAGTGCAAAGCAGAGAAGTATAAACTACATGGGGATTAGTGTGGATTCCACAACTAGTGCATGTCAATTACCAAGAAAGAAATCAGGCCTGGTGATTCCAGAACTTGGGAGGATATACCAGAAAGATTTGGTTTTGAGGGCCAGCTATCTAGGGAAATTGTTTTTAAAAAAAGAAACAGGCCTGGAGCCAGTAGATCACGCCTATAATCCTAACTACTCAGGAGGCTAAGATCTGAGGATCGGCTCAAAGCCAGCCCAGGCAGTGAAGTCCACAAGACTCATTTCCAATAAACCACCCAGAAAACCAAAAGTGGTGCTGTGGCTCAAGTGGTAGAGCACTCCTAGCCTTGAGCTGAAGAGCTGAGGGACAGAACCCAAGCCCAGAGTTCAAGCCCCACAACCACCAACAAAAAAGACACAGATCCTCCATAGATCCTGTTGCAGTAAATGAGGCTTGACCCAGGAAATCTATGGAGTTCCCCATTCCTCAGTTGCTTATGTATATCAGGAGAAAGCCCCTGGAAACAAGAACATGTGCCCTCATCATGATTATGTTATTTTACTTAAACAAAAGATGGCTATCCTATCTTAATTTGGAGTCCACAGGTCTTTGAATGTTGTTTAAAAAAGTTACACTTACTGATTAATCCCAGATTAAAGTAAAATTTAACTCTGCAAAGTTTTAGTCTGTTTTTACTCAATGTCTGGAAAACTCTTGGTTATTACCATAGAATAGCATAAGGCAGTGGGATGTAAATAAAATAGGGAGGCTGGGAAGGTGGCTCAGCGGTAGAGCGCTTGCCTTGCATGCCTGAGGCCCTGGGTTTGATTCATCAGCACCACATAAGCAAAAAGAAAAAAGCCAGAAGTGGCACTGTGGCTCAAGTGGTAGAGCGCTAGCCTTGAGCTGAAAAGCTGAGGGACAGCGCCCAGGCCCAGAGTTCAGGCCCCATGACCAGACCCAAAAATAAATAAATAAATAAATAAATAAATAGGTATGAATTCATATATTATGGTATTTCCCTTAATCTTATCATGGTAGATAAGTCTGTATGAGAGCTAAAAGAAGACAAATTAAGGGTTTGGAGCAGTAATGATTCATTTGTTGAACTAAGTTATACTTGCAGGCAAAATGAAAGCAAAATTCATCCCAATGGCATTTTAGTACAAAATTTACCAGCAACAAGTTAAAGAATTATCATTTGAAAAAATAAAATTTATCAAATATTACCAAATGATTATATTGCTAAGAAAAATAAAAACCTGGGCTGGGAAGATGGCTCAGTGGTAGAGCGCTTGCCTTGCATGCCTGAGGCCCTGGGTTTGATTCCTCAGCACCACATAAGCAAAATGAAAAAAGCCGGAAGTGGCGCTGTGGCTCAAGTGGTGGAGCGCTAGCTTTGAGCTGAAGAGCTGAGGATCAGCACCCAGGCCCAGAGTTCAGGCCCAACGACCAGGCCCCCCCCCCCCAAAAAAAAAAACAAAAACAAAAAAAAAAAAACCCTGACCACTATTAATTCAATTAACAATTTTTAAAGCAGAACTTACCTGGCTCATGGATCATGTAATGAACCCAGCCAAGACTCTGTTGGACACCAAGTCTCCTCCACTCCTCTTCAGACATCAGATGGGTTTTGGGTACTTGTTTAGAAAGTTCTCTGGGTAACATGACATGCCTAGTAACAGATAGCCAAGCATTAGTGCTATTAGTCTTTCTTACAGTTATCATTTTATTTGCACCAGTGGCACTTGGAAAGGTAAAGACCAGGAGGATCATGGCTTAAAGGTCAGCTTGGCCTATGGGGAAGAACTTCTCAAGAGCTGAACACCACAGCACAGTGGTATACACCTGTCTTCCCTAGCCAAGTAAGAGCCTCTCAATGGAGCTATGGTGGTGTATGCCCATCATTCCAGCTACCACAGGATGTGTAAAAATAGGACAGGCAGGAGATGGGACTCTCTCTAAAATGATCAATGTAAAAATAAAGACCAGGAAGTATGCGTAAGCAAGCCCCAGGCCCTCAGTTAAATAAGACACATACAAAAAGTTACATTATGTGTATCGTTTGTATAAACCAGTAAACATGATCTATCAGGATTTGATTATAATAGGAAAAAATTTTAGTCAATTTCATGTGAGGATACTAATACTTCATGGACAATTTTCAAACACAATCATGCCAATTTATTACTATCTTATGGAAATTAAGCATAAGACTAGGAAATTAATTTTACAAACGCAAAATGGAAAGTATAGGTTGTTCACTAATGATAACCTTTGAAATTTACAGGGCAATATACCACAGAAAACACATATTCCATTTATTCTTAAAGGTAGTAAATGGCTTAGTGTATTAAGCCTAGCTCATACTCAGCATGTTGTCAAATGCCTATACTCTCAGCTACTGGGAAGACTGAGGCAGAACAAAGTTTTGAGGCTATTCTGGGCAATTTAGTGGATAAAGGACTGGGGAAGCACTTGAAAATTAAAATAATTTCAGATACACCAAGAGTTTATGTACTTTACCACACAAACATCTTAGTAATTTCAGATTTAGTGACTATCCAGAGGTTTTTGACTATATTAAATCTGAAAATAAGAGTACTGCTGACAAGGCTTAGAAACTATCTTAGTATAAACATTAATACTATGCTTTAAAAGAAACGTAAACAGCTGGGCGTTGATGGCTCATGCTTGTAAAACTAGCTACCTCAGGAGGCTGAGAACTGAGGACAGCAGTCTGAAGATAGCTGAGGCAGGGACATACTTGAGACTTTTACCCAGACTAACTATCTCTAACCACCAAAAGAGCTACAAGTAAATCTATGGTCCCAGAACGCTGGCCTTGAGCACAAAAGCTACGGGGAACTTTCTGGCCCTGAGTTCGAGCCCAGTACCAGCACCCTTAAGCTAAAAACTTAGACATTTAAGTCTGCCAAGTTTTAGAAAGGTAGTGCAGTTTACAACGTTGCCTACCACTGGATACTGACCGGCTGGGCTCCTGGTTAAGGTGATTTAGAAACTAGGTTTTTCTACCTAGAAGTATAAAGGCTTACAAGTTAGTACAAATTCCTAACACTGGCCAAAAGAAAGCCACTTTCCTCCATAGTTTGGGGCAAGGAAGGGGGTGAGGGGGGGGGGGGGGGGGGGGGAAGGTCACTCAATCTAAACATCCTAACTTCTCCAACACCATTCTTGGAAATCTAAACTAATGGGGGCAGCAAAGCAAGGTCACCACTGGGCCAAGGGTGGCGTCCTTGCCCAGAAGGCAACGCGGTAGTTACAGAGGCCGGAGGCCCCAAGGGTTGGCGGAGACTGCTTTGGTCCCCGAGCTGGGGCTGCGCACCACATCCGGCCGGGCTGAGCGGGCGGAAGCGTCCCCTCTTCCCTCCCTGACGCCACTCGGCTCGGGTTCCCGCACGGCCTCTCCTCCCTGGCGCAGCCACGCCAGCCTTCACCGTCCCCAAAGTGCCACAAGCAACTAAGCAAAGGAGCCCAGAGTCCACGCCAAGCCTTCGGGTCGGCCCGGGGCGGCGTGCGCCGCTGGGTGGTGAGAGCCGCCACGTTCGCGGCGGCGATTCCCCGTCCGGCCCGGGTTCGGCTCCGCCGCGCCGCGCCCCCGGAGGGCCGGGCGCCGCGTACGGGACGGGCCCGGCCCCGGCCCCGGCCCCGGCCCCAGCCCCAGCCCCGCGGGCGCGGCGCCGCCCAGGGCCCCCCGGCCGGAAACCCGCGCGGCCCCTTCACTCCCCGCGGACCAACAAAGGCACGGCCGAGCCGCCCACCACCCGCGGCCGCGGCCCTACGCCGTCAGCCCCACATCGCCGCCCGCAGAGCAGGGGACGGGCCGCCAAGACTGCTCACCGGTACTCGTAGTGCTCGTCGAAGTACTTATCCGAGTAGTAGATCTGCTTGTGGGCCATCCTTCCGGCGCGCAGAGGTGAAAGACCAAGTTTGCGTAGAGAAACCGGGAACGGCTCGGGCGCACGTCCGCTCTCGGCAGGGGCAAAGACTCGACTAACGACTGTAGGCCCAACGCTCCAAATTTGAATCCGACAGCCCACCTCCAATTGGATAGTACCATGGACCAATCACCTTCCCCACGAGCCACCCCAGTGACCGGCCAATCGTTGCCGTCCTTCCGCGGCTTAACCAACCAGAGGTCTGTTGGGGGTTGCCCGAGGGAAGAAGTAGACCGTTAGGGAGGCCTCGGGGGGCGGGAGAAGGGTTTTGACGGACGGGAGCGTAGTCCTGGAAGGGCGGAACCCGGACGTTAAAGGCCTCCGGGCTCGTGTGCCCGGGGATGGGAGGTGGGAGGGACGGTTCTCGAGCTCACTTATCTCATCGCGGGGCTTGGCAGGGGCGGGACGGGGAGCGGGCGCGGGGAATTGGGGGCAGACTGGGTAGGGGAGGCCGGGTGGCGCCGCGTCCGTCAGACTAGCGTGAAAAGACTAGCCGAAAAGTGGTGGGTGTGAGGAGGCGGGGGCGGGGGGAAGGGGGGAGTGGGAGGGGAGCAGTGGGGGGCAGTGGGGGGAGGGGGAGCACCTACCTGCCAGGTCTTCAGCATACCCTCTGGAGGGAACAGTTCTCGTTGGAAGCTTCTGGAAACGCGCCGGGGCGGGACGGTCTCTGTAGACTTACCCCAGTTGTCCATCTCAGGGGGAAGCTCTGGAGGGGGGAGGGGGGCTTCCACACCCCCAAAGTAACAACGCTTGCAGCTGCCTTAATGGGGCTGAGAGTGATTTTGAAATTCCCCTGGCTTCTGAATATTGACTACCAACTTCAGAAGTGCACAGAGGAAGTGCGCTTTTATCTCCAAATAACAACCAAAATGCTGGAGGTAAAGCACTGGCCTGGAGTCCCAGGCCCAGCACGGAAATACACTTCCTTAATCCCAGCTACTTAAGAGGCTGAGATCTGGGGATTGCAGTTCAAAGCCAGCCTGAGCAGGAAAGTTTTATCTACACTTGGGGAGACATCTCCAGTTAACCAGCAAACAGCTGGAAGTGGAGCTGTGGCTCAAGGGGTAGAGTCTTGAACAGAAAAAACTCAGGGATAGTACCCAGGCCTCTGAGTTCAAGACCCAAGACCGGCACCAAAAAAAAGGCATTTATGTGTTTGTAAAATAAGTTACTGGAGGAATATAAACCAAGATGTGAAGATAGTTACTTTTACATCATATAATTAGAAGTGACTTACAACATGTTGGTATTTGCTTAGTTTTATAGGAAATAAAATTTTTCTGCACGTTGCACAATGATTTGAACCCACACTGTGTCCCTCCCACCCTGTTGTACCATGGGGCTTCTGTGGAGAACTGCCATAGATAGCGTGGGTGTTAGGAACAAATCCCCTTTTCTGCTGGCAGAAGGAAGGTCAGGTGCTAACACAATTCTTAGACTAGCCTTTTTGAGGCTTCACATAGCCCATTTCTGTGTCTTCTAACATGATTACAAGCCACCCTGGTGGCTCAGTGTGTAATCTGAACTACTCCAGAGGCTGAGATCTGAGGATCCTGATTCTCCAGATAATCACCAAAAAGCTGAAACTGTAAAGGTGGCTTATGTGGACAAGTCTTGAGTTGAAACACTTAAGAAAGAGCACCATGGGGCTGGGAAGGTGGCTCAGTGGTAGAGTGCTTGCCTTGCATGCATGAGGCCCTGGGTTCGATTCCTCAGCACCACATAAGCAAAAAGAAAAAAGCCGGAAGTGATGCTGTGGCTCAAGTGGTAGAGCGCTAGCCTTGAGCTGAAAAGCTGAGGGACAGTGCCCAGGCCCAGAGTTCAGGCCCCATGACCAGACCCAAAAAACAAAAAACAAACAAAAAAAAAGAGCATCATGGCTCTGAGTTCAAGCCCCAGTATGGGAATGATGAAATCTCCTGACAGCTTACAAAATTTAGGATTTATTGGTGGTGCTATGCTATGCTAATGGCACATTACTTCCTAAGTCACTGTCACTTGGGATGGAAGCTGGAATTAAGGTTTTAACTTATAAATTGTGTGTAAATTCTCTCCATAAGACATAGCATACCGGGGCTGGGAAGGTGGCTCAGTGGTAGAGCACATGCCTTGCATGCCAGAGGCCCTGGGTTCGATTCCTCAGCACCACATAAGCAAAAAGGAAAAAAAAGCCAGAAGTGGCGCTGTGGCTCAAGTGGTAGAGCTAGCCTTGAGCTGAAGAGCTGAGGGACAGCGCTCAGGCCCAGAGTTCAGGCCCCATGACTGGACCCAAAAAAAAAAAAGACATAGCATACCTCAGATGTTAGTCTGAGAATGCCTCTTTGTAAAAGGTCTTTTCTTAGTCACCCTCTCTGCAGTTAGGTACCTTGATTTCCTCAGGTTTCTCTATTAATAGAATACTATGGGTTTCCTGCCCACCGTTTATTATACTTTGTAATTGCTTGTTGCCTTATGTATTGTTTGTCCTTGCATTATAATATACCTTCCATGTAACCAATTAGTGCATTTGTTTACTGTTTTGTGCTTAGCATTTGAAAAGTCCCTTGTATATGATGAGCATGTCCTAAGTCTTATGTACTATAATGGTAAAGATGTAAACTCTTAAGGGAGATAAATTATTCCACAGAACCAGGGAAAGAAGTTTCTCAGTATATATATTTTTAAAGAGATTGTGGGAAAATCAAACTAGTGTAAATCAACTCCCATGTACCAATGACTGAGCTTAAACTAATTTCTCTAGTCATGGGTCATCTTTCTCTTTTGTTACAGAACATCTTGCTGGCCTTGAACTCGCAATTCTCTTGCACACCTGTAACCCCACTAATAGGCCTTATTATGTCCAACTTTAAAAGATATTCAACCACCAGTCATTATGCTTATTGTTCCTTAGCTTCAAATTTTTCCTGATTACCTCACATATACTTTTTTTTGAACTTTTTTTTGCATTATGCCTGTCAGACATTCCTGTCTAGATTTGAGATCTTTCTCATAGTATAATTTCTTTTTCTATCCCATATATTTCTTTTTTTTTTTGGGGGGGGGGTCCGGTTGTGGGGCCTGAACTCTGGGCCTGGGCGCTGTCCCTCAGCTCTTCAGCTCAACGCTAGCACTCTACCACTTGAGCCACAGCGCCACTTCCGACTTTTTTCTTTTTATGTGGTGCTGGGGAATCGAACCTAGGGCCTCAGGCATGCAAGGCAAGCACTCTACCACTGAGCCACCTTCCCAGCCCCCCCATATATTTCTTATAGCCTGGTACTTAAGACCTAAGTAAAAGAATAATCCATGAAGCTATTAAGTAGTAGACTCATATTTCATCTTGAACAATCTGACTTCAGTTTTAGGCCTGGCCTTCCACTTATGTGGTAGGTAAAGTGCTCAATCACATCTATATCCTCAGCTCAGAGATAGGCCTCATAACCAGTCATCTATACTATCTTATGGAATTATATAGGTAGAAAACCAGAAGAGGGGAAACACCTTTCCAATAGAGAAGTTAGCATTTATAAAGATGTAGGAAAACATACTATACCCAGAGAATAGTGAAGGATTATGGCTTAGAACGTAGAGAATTTGAGGAGGAAAGTAGTGGGAAGTGATTCTGAAGAACAGATGAGGCAGATAGTTGCCCCCATGTTCCATTAAGGTGACCCAGTGTTATCAGAAAGGTGATTATAGGAGGGAGACAAAGTTCAGTTATGTGACACGAAGGGTGTGCAGCTGACTGGAAATTGGAAAACAAGAACAGATTCTTCCCTGTTTTCTAGAAGGAACTCAGCATTGCTACCAACTATGATTTTAACCTAAGTCCTGAAATAGGAATTCTGACTTAAGGAACTATAAGGTAGTACATTGTATTTTAAGTCCCTGAATTTGTAGTAGTTTGTTAAAACAGTAATAAGAAACTAAGACAATGGATTGAGCCAACCTGAGAAAGGTTTCTTGGGCTCCTTTCTTTTTTTTTTTTTTTTTTTGTAGGTCATGGGGCTTGAACTCTGGGCTTGGGCGCTATCCCTTAGCTCTTCAGCTCAAGGCAAGCACTCTATCGCTTGAGCCACAGCGCCACTTCTGTTTGTTTGTTTTTTTCTAGTGGTTTATTGGAGATAAGAGTCTCATGGACTTTCCTGCCCGGGCTGGCTTTGAACCACGATCCTCAGATCTCAGCCTTTTGAGTAGCTGGGATTACAGGCATGAGCCACTGGCACTCGACTCTTGGGCTCCTTTCTAAGAAGTTTGTTCACTGATTAATGTGAGCCATGTAATATTGAATATGATAAGGGTAACTAAGAAATGTGGAGGATGGACAGGAAGAAACTGTAAGGAAGTTATGAAGTTGAAGGCATGTCAAAACATGAGATCATGCCGGGTGCTGGTGGCTCATGCCTGTAATCCTAGCTACTCAGGAAGCTGAAATCTGAGGATCACAGTTCAAAGCCAGCCCAGGTTGGAAAGTCTATGAGACTTTTATCTCCAATTAACCACCAGAAAACCAGAAGTGGTGCCATGGATCAAGTGGTAGAGCACTCACTTTGAACTGAAGAGTTCAGGGACAGCTCCCAGGCTCAGAGTTCAGGCTCCACAACTGATCAAAAAGCAAAAACAACAACAACAAAACATGAGATCATGCCTATAATCCTAGCTATTCAGGAGGCTAATATCTGATGAAATACTAGGTTTGAGGCCAGCCTGGGCAGAAAAGTTTACTAAACTCCATCTTCAAAATAACCAGCAAAACGCAGAGCTGGAAGTACACTCAAATGATTGAGCCAGGGCTTCCATGGTGCTAGGCTCGTGCTCTAATAAAGTCATACTGAAAGTTTCCAGTATGATGGCAAGATTGACTAAAAGGATTGACAAAAATTTCACTGGGAACATGGCTTAGTGATAGAGTGCTTGCCTAGCATGCATGAAGCCCAGGGTTCCATTCCTCAGTATCACATAAACAGAAAAAGCTGGAAGTGATGCTGTGAGTGCTAGCCTTGAGCAAAAGAAGCTCAGGGACAGTGCCTGGCCCTGAGTTCAAGCTCAAGACTGGCAAAAAAATTCAGCAATGAACAG